GCGCTCTAATCACCTAGCCATACAGGGCCGGATTTTTTATGTCCAAGCAATGATTGTGCAGTTATTGTTTGTGACCAGCATAATTTTTATACAAACACATATTTGAAACATTTAACTATTGGAGCCTGTTAGTTTTGCAGTGTAATGGCAGAAAGATTATGTTACTTTGGATCTATTGCTTAATTAATCATCTAGAAATGTTACCCATCACCGACTGTAATATGCTAGTTGAACTTTAACCTTATTATTCATAAAAACTTACTAAGAACCAACTCACACCAGGGTTTGCAATATAAAGGCGTTGTTGTAAACGCTGTTATATGTTTTAACGTTCTTTACATCGCGATAAACGGCTTTATACGGTGTTAATGGTAGCTCTTGAGTAGCTTTGCGCGAAATTCAATAAACAACATATATATTTGATATTTTGATTTTCAGGTTTATAATACGTTTCCGATCTTTTTGATATACAATTTTTGTTATAAAAACCTTTAGTTGACTGTGTTGTTTTTTTGTAATTCGTTTGACTTGAGTGACTCAACGTGCTGTTTGTTTATTGCAAAGAGTTGCACATAACTAAGCACATTGTACACAATGACAAAACTAATCCCCATAAATACATTTGAAAACATATACAAACTTTTAACTAAGACTTAGAATTAATGAACTGGAAATGATTTAAAACGTTTTGCTAAAAAAGGCTTTCAATTCATTTGACATTCTTGGTTGATTACTTATTACCCCAAATTTAATTCATTATCGCCCATCGTCAAATCGATTATTGTTAGCAGCTTACTTCCAGATGTTTAACACACTACTCACAACTAATTACCTTTTGCCTCCTTCCCTGATCCGGTTGATTACTTATTACCCCTGCATTCAGTTCATTATTATCCATCATTCACTTTATTGTTAGCAGCTTACTTCCAGATGTTTAACACACTACTCACAACTAATTACCTTTTGCCTCCTTCCCTGATCCGGTTGAGTACTTATTACCCCTACATTCAGTTCATTGTCACCCATCATTCACTTTATTGTTAGCAGCTTACTTCCAGATGTTTAACACACTACTCACAACTAATTACCTTTTGCCTCCTTCC